TTAACTTGGAAACATGTGCACCAAGACTGAAATTATTTTACTCCCACAGGGGTAGCACTCTATTTAAAGTGCCCATTAACTAATCCTAAACAGTGGTGGAAAATCAGTGGAAATATGTGTGGCACCTACATGAATACCAAGTGAATTCATGAAGATTGGTGCTGCATATAAAATTATTCCACTATAGAGGGATACTTCAAAGAAAAAGTTGCTGCAATAAGGAGCTAGTCATAAAAAATATGTCATTCAGTAATAGCTTTTTTATATTCTATGGTTCAATTCCTGGCAGTTAGTGTGCAATTCTGTTACACATCCCAGCTTTCAGGGGCCTCAAACTTATCTGGGAAAACTTAGTGACTTCATAGTACCATGTGTGTGCCTGGGATCAACTTTTGCTTTAAGAAAAAAAATACAATGACCACCTATTAGAGCTGAGTAAAATGTTACGGGATTCAAGTGCTGTTTATCATTGTTAATATCTTCATTTTAAAATAAAAAGGTATTGATGTTTTTATATATATTTGTTACTGATTGGTCCCAGTAAAATGGCTTTAAGGAGAATTTCTGTAATTGTCTGACTCTGCTCACATGTCAATAACTGCTTGGATTTCCCTTGATGCCAGTGGAAGAGAATGATCTGTAGAGTCTCTCTAGAGTCTATGGACAGGAAAGGTAAAATCCTATTTATTTATTCCTCAGCACCTGGGTGATTGTTACCAGGCTTCAATTTCTAATGGATTGGGGCTACTTTGTTACCAGTTTTAGGTTTGTGTGTAGGAAGCTTGACTTGGATTTTAGAAGGGCTGAGTTCTCCCATCACTGGGGTTCAACTGGGCCAGAAAAACCCAGCGCACACCAGCAGTGATGCCTAATTTTGTGTTCCAAGGTTCCAATACATTGTCCCAGGTAATGGCACTGGTTGGTGCCTGATCTTGCTTGATCTGATGTCTCTGAATATTCATCCCATCACCTCCTGTACAGAGGGCAGGGATTCAACCCACAGCTTTAGCACTATCAGCAATAACCAGGAAGAGAGGAAAACAGATTTGCACACTAAATTCCGTGGACAGATTTCCCAGGACAATTAAATTCTGAATGCACAATCCAGAATACAATATGTAACATGGTAAACTGTGGGTTTATAATTACAGTGAAACCAGAATTGCTGCAATCTAGACATGTTCAGAATGATGAAACACATTCAAAATCTGCATTGTTATTATCTTCTAACCCAATTTACTACAAGAGTTGATTTTCCAGTCCATTTCTCTGAGTGAGAATCACTGGGATGGAGTACTTAAAATATTCACTCGCATTTATTCCAGTATTTGTGTACAAATACAAACAGTTCCCATCTCTAAAATTCAAAGATCTCTCTCACACACTCATTCTTTTGTATCCTCCAGCCCAGTACAGATTCTCAATGCATTCTCCCAAAACATAAGGTGATATATTGGTGTCATTTCCCCGTTCTAGACACCTTGAGATGATGGCTCTTCAGAGAGCAAGTGGTGCTGAAGCTCATAAAATAACAGGAAAAGGGCTTTTACAGAAGGTTAATTTATGCTGCCATCATCTGGGGTAAAGACAAAGGGTTTTTTGCAGTGTCTGCACACGGGGTAGCAAAGGGAGGTCCCAGTCCAAGATCAAGAAACATGCTACCACAATACAATACAAATGACCCTGAAAGTCATATTGAGAGCTAACATGAGAGCAGCTGATTGGTTTATTCAGTTATGGAATAGAATTAATTTTACTGCTTTTGTTCATTTGTTAACTGAGGGGAGAGAAACTGCAAATTTTACTTGACTGAAACCTGAAGGAATCAAACCATGGCTGAAAAAAACTGTGCAAAATTGCTTTGATTTTTATGTAAGAATTAGACTAAAAGAAGTACAATTGCCAGATATTTTTAAATACAGTTCATCTGACAGCACAATGTAAAGATTTCCACGGCCCAGAGTTACTGGAAGGCTGTATCTCCCTTTGTAACTCTAATCTCCATGGTTAGAAACAATGCAATTATCTACCCCTAGACATCATCAGTGAATCTACATTATTTTAAGCAGTTTCCAATCTTGAATCTTGCTGCTTAACACATGGGAAAGAGCATGTAATGCAATTTAGGGATCAAAGTCAACATTTGCTGCGTTGCCAATGTTATTTATTTTTAAAAAGGAGAAAAAAAAAGAAAGAAAAAAGAGAGGGATAGATTGAGAAAAATTACACGCACAAAAGGGATAAAAATGCCTTCTTGTAGAAAACTGAGTTACTGAAAGAGATCCAAAGACTTTGGTAATTTGGTTTGTGTTGTACTTGAAATAACCATAACACATCCATCAAGATTAACCAAGCCTGGTGAAATGGCAAATCACATTAACTTGTTAGGCCACCAGGTCAGATTTGTCAAACTGAGGGAACAGAGGCAAGAGACCAAAGATAATTTGTTTGTGCATGTAGCCCTAAATTTTTCTAATAGGAACTGTAATGCCATGATATGGATATTGAGTAGCATCCTCTGAGCGCTTCACTGCTCTCTGGGTGCATGGAATGAGCCTAAATAAATGTTTTATTAACACTGATGCTAAGAAATGCATAGAGGAAAGCATTGGCCATGAACAGCAATTGCAGGTTTTAGTGACAGGACAAAATTGAAGTGTGGGACACCCTTCTGATGCCAGCTACTGGCATTGCCTTCAGGAAGTGCTACATGCATTCCTATCAGAGAAATCTACTGTTCCAGCAGCCCAACCCATCATCTGCAGCATTAAACCTTTCAGCTCTCCCATCATTATTTTAATTGTGGCCTTATTTTCCCAGTATGTGTCTTAAATTGTGCAGTTTTCAGCTCTTTACGGTTGCTTTTTATTTAGTTGACCATCCAGACAATAGGGGTCAAAGAAATATATACTGTGACTGAAAATTCAGAATGAATCTTCATCAGGGTTCTGGCATTACCTTGGAGTTTCAAAGTGGAGGAACATTGTACAGCACGAACTTGTAATTTGATTTTTAGTTCATCACTGTTCTGTGTTAATAAAAACCTGAACTAGTCCAGAATTGAGAGCCTATGGTTGGAAAAAGCAGTTTTTAGAGACAATTTCTGTTTGCAGAGGTGTAATAATTTGCTTGGCTCCCACTCAGCACTTCACATTTCTGTTCAGTATGTCACTGGGAAACATGTGGTAATACAGCTTTTCCTGGCAAGGCTGGATCCACTCCAGTATCACTTTTCCTGCAGTGATGAAATCTGCCTCAAAAATTCTGTCCTCAAAATGTGATTCCCATTGGAAGTGTGGAATGATGTGTAGGCAGGGGGTGATGAGTGCTCTGATGAAGGGATTAAAATAAGGAACTGGCTGCCTGGCCATGCATTGCTGTCATCCTTGTTTCCTCTGGAAAGCAGTGAAGGTATTGGAATATCTAACTTGCCATGTGCTGGTGTGTATTCCACATCTTATTTTCAAACAACCAGGCTGGGATAGAGCTGCTGTGGTTTAAGGAAAGAAGGAAGGATTGAGCCTCAGTGTTCTCTAATACCATATCAACCTTGAGAGTGGGTGTGCCTATGACAATATTAACCAGAATTCATTGTAGGTTTTTCCATTACTCTGTTTGAGATCCATGAGAAAGACTTATTTCCCAATTTTTTGCAGCTCTAGTTCAATGTCCTTATAAATATCTGTACCTCATACAAAGAAAGGAATCTATAAATGATGAAAAATAACAAAAAAAAATACAAAAAATGTGGAAGAAAGACCATATTCTAGTAGATTTCCTCACTGTGGTTAATATCTTATTCATAAAAAAGTTCCATTTTCAAATTCCAGCGGGGTTTTTTTGCTGATATGCCTTGCCATGACATTTGCCAGGTCATGGCCCTGGTTATCCTGGTGGTTCATAGTCACTCTGGGATCAGGGAATAGAGCCAGGTCTTCCTCCACCTCTGTCATTTCCAAGCTAATGAGCTCCCTGCTTGTACCAGAAATTCTTGTTACTCTTCCCTAAGTGAACAGTTGTGCATTTTGTGCTCTCACATTTCATCCTATTTCCATTAGTCCAGTTTTAAATGTCACCCAAAGTGTCCTGCAGGATATTGCACTCCTTCACACTGAGGATGTCTCCCAATTATGTTTCAGAACCAAATGTCATGAGCATTGTCCCAAGATTTTGTGTCAGCTTTGTAAGTAAAATGTTGTATAAAATATAACACTAATCCATAAGAAAATTCCACCAGCAATCCTCCTCCCTGACTAGAGATTTAACCTGATGGTCTCTCTCTGGAGTCAGTGGGGTAAATTTTTCTTATTGGTAGTTTTTATTGTGTTGTAGGTGAAGGAAATGACTGGGGTTGTGAGAAGGGAGAGCTAAAATCAATGGTAAATACTTAGATGCTGAAAGTTAACTATGTGCTCAATTTTTTAGCTGTAAATATCAGAGGGAAAATCTCCTTCTTAAAACTTTTTGCCTTGAGTGGAATCTTGTTGCCTGTGCATCCTGTTGCCAGAGCAACCTGTACTGGCACTGGAACAGTGGCAAAGATCAGTTGCTGCTTTCAGAACAGACACAACAACATAAATGTGGGCATTACGTTGGATTCTTTTATACCAACATTATCTAATTCTATTTTCCTTATCTCATAAAAATATGGATTTCTATCTTTTTTTCCACAGCAGAAATTAGTTGGGAACAGTAAACAGGATTCCCCAGAAAGTAGCATCCAGTATAAGAGCTTTTGGTAATTGTTTAATAGTGAACACTATTATGTGAAATATGCAGGGAGAGGCAATGTAATGGTATCAATCTTATGTCCACACCCAAAATTGTAACTATCCAGCTTTCGAGGGAGGTAAGAAGACTTGAAAGAAAATTTGCAGAAATCTTTTCTGATTCAACCTTTGATCCCCCGCTCTCCTCAGATCACAGGTCCTACATGCCTCAAACTTCCCAGGTTTAACTACCCCTGGAAACATAAAGGAAGCTCAAAGCACACAAATAAGTGATTCCCATCTGAACAGAAGTCAGGCACTACATTCCTATCTTCTGCAGCTGAACCTCCTCACACACACACTCCAGTGCCGAGTCAACAAGATGTTTGATTAGAATTTGACTTTTCGTAGTTTGCGCTGCTGCTGTGGAAAAAAAGTATATAGAATTAATAGAATTATACCTGACAATATCTGGCTCTGTTGGGTTTTGTTCAGTACTGTTATAATAACAATAACAAGTACTAAAAATTGTCAGTCTTAAACAATTGCAGCACCGCAGAGAACAAATAAACCCACACATAAACAAATACTGAAGGATTATCTTCACTTAAAATACAATGCAGATTATAGTAGAACATATACAAGATTTTAATGTTCAATACAATTAAGTCTTCTGCTGTGCTGTAAACCTTACTGAATATGCTGTGGGAAAATATTACAAAAACTAGTCAACTATTCCCAGCAGACTTTGAATGCTTTTTTTGTGTGTAGCTGCATAAATTAGAATGAATTTTCTTTCATTATAGACAGTAAAAAGGAGGATTAATATGGAAATCTTTTCCAGTGAAAATTTCTATCAGGAATACAGAAAACACAGTGCAACGTTGAGCAGATAATCTGAAGAACCTCTTGGCTTTTGACATTTTTGGAAGCACTGTGGGCTTTCTTTTCAGGACCTCTGGCACAAGTTTTGTACTACTTACAGCATTTCTCAAACATCCTTCTATTTGATCCAGAGCAATCAATGCAGAGATAGCAGCTGATATTTTTATCCTTTTTGATGTAAATTGTGTAAATCTCTGCTCGTGGACAGTTTCATCAGAATGGCTTTTCAGGCCGGAAATTGCTGTGTTTCCTTCCTTAGGGTTAATCCTATTTCACAGCATATGGTGAGGCAAAGGATCTGGAAAGCAGGAAAGGGCCCTTACATAAGCTGGGCAGGATTGATGTCCTTGAAGTTGGGGTTTTGTGTGACTGGCCTCATCCTGCAGAACTGGGGTCACACTGGAGCTCTTAAGGAGTACAAACCAGCTCAGCAAATCCCAGAGCACTTTGTCTGAGTGCACGGGGGTGTGAACCCCCCTCTGAGCCCAGCTGGGAGTGACAGCCATGTGCAAGGGTGTTCATTTGATCTCACAATCACAGAAGCATGGAATATGCTGAGTTGGAAGGGACCCACAAGGATCATCCAGTCCAACCCTTGGCCCTGCACAGGAGCATCCCCACATTCACCCCCTGTGCCCCAGAGGATCAGCTAAACCCTCCTGGAGCTCTGGTAGCCTTGGGGCTGTGCCCACTGCCCTGGGGAGCCTGGGCAGTGCCCGACCACCCTCTGGGGGAAGAACCTTTTCCTGAGATTCAACCTAAACCTCCCCTGACACAGCTCCAGACCATTCCCCGAGTCCTGTCCCTGGTCCCCACAGAGCAGAGCTCAGTCCCTGTCCCTCCTTTGCCCCTCCTCAGGCAGTTGTACCTGCACTGAGGTCTCCCCTCAGTCTCCTCTTCTCCAGCTGAACACACCAGGTGCCCTCAGCTGCTCACACGGCTTCAAATCAAGGCACTTCCCCACCTTCATTGCCCTCCTTTGGACTTTTTCTAATGTCTCAGTGTCTTCCTTATATTGTGGTGCCCCAAACTGCCCCAATATTCCAGGTGAGGCAACCCCAGGTCAGAGCAGAGAGGGACAATCCCCTCCCTTCCCCAGCAAGGCTGGGCCTGATGTGCCCCCCTGGACAGTGATGCCTGAGCTTGTCTTATCTCCATCTAATGTCAGATATGTACAAACAAACCCAAGTGCTCATCAATAGTTTCATTCCTTTCTACTGACTCAAAACCATTTATCTCCTTGGCTCAATTTTCCACCTGCACATTTTCCCCTTAAATTCTTTCCCTGTTTTAGTGGGAAATTTGCAAACACATGATCTCTTACAGTTCACTTTGTTCAATATTTCATGTTTTCCAGCTGCTCAGGTCTGAGATACATGTTTTTCCCTCCAGCATGGTACCAGGCAGCACTAACCAGAGGCCACTTTTTATGCTGGGAAGCAAAAAATATGAATATTCTCCCAGGTCATCATTTCAGAGTGATCAATTGCAATGAAAACAGAAAATACAAGGAATGCTTTCTCACTCTATATGCTGCAATGCAAGAGAATTTAGGATTTTTCCAAGCTGAAGACATTCATAAAATTTAATTCATATCTACCCGACCTAAATAAAATTAATTCTTTCCAGATTATTAATTTCCAATATTCTACAGCTCATTGCTTCTCCATTCATTCCTTAAACAGAGAAAACCAAGCCCAAAGATGTCATTTCACTCCAATCTTCTGACAGCTCTCAGTGTATTGCAGGGATTGCAGCTTTGGCCCACGATTTTAACTGAATTATTCACAATTCAGACCAGGGCCTGAAGTGTAAAGTTCTAAATGTGTTTGCTAAGAACTGAAATTCATCCCAGCCTGGTTTCTGTCTTCTCAGCTTCTCACATCATGCCTTCCATGAATATTTGGAGAATTAATTTAAGGGTCAATTGAAAAAACAGGTGCAAATGTACCTGAAAGTCTGAGTGGTTCTGTAAGAACCTGTCTAATATTATTCACCATTTTAAGCACAGTTGCTGAGGTTAATTAGATTTACGACCCCTAAAAATTTTAAGTGACCCTGATGACTTTCTTTCCAACTGATTATTTGGTGTGAGAAACAGAAAAAGAATAACAAATAGACTATGAATAAATAAACTCTTGATATTCATTCATACAAGGACAGAGAATATGTTTCTGACATTTAATTAACTATCTAAACGTCCACAAGATCTATAATAAACCACTTTGCAAGACATCCAAATGTCAGAGAGAAACACATTTTACATGAAGTGTTTCTTTTACCACTGAAGCTGTGAAGATACAACATTCTTTTAAAAAGACACAGAAAAAACAAGCACATATTTTATCTTGAAAGTACTTTTTCAAAGGCTTCTGAACAGCCAGTTGCTTGCAGTATGACGAGTGGAATTATTCTAATTTATCACACAGGAGTTTGAAACATTAGTTTTACAGATATGCCATGTTGTTCTAGCAGAGTTCATGTCCTGAGACTTGGGCAAAACACTGGGAACATTAAATTGATTCTCTTCCCTGAATTCACCTGCAACTTTTCACTAGGATCTGAAGATTTTGTAACCTGTATTTAAGTGCTGCAGAAAATCTATTCTAACCTATTCACATGCACGTTACTTCTGCCTTCCCTTTTTTTGTCAAAATCTTGACAACATCCTCTAACCCCTCAAGGGATGTAAGAGGTACTTCACCCCCCTGAAGGCACTCCTTGGCTGGGATCTGGTTAATGGAATTGCAGTGAAATGCAGAGGGTCCTACAGGGGCCTTTCACATACTGGGGCAGAAGGAAAAGCTGCAACTCTTTTCTTTCTTTCATAGATTCATCCAGATATTTGGAAAGTTGACTTGCCAAGATGACAAGTGTTGCCAGATTTGCTTTGACTTGTCTCTCTGCTTTTTAAAGATAAATAAACTGGAAGAGGCAGTTTGTACAAAAGGTGCTGGAATTATGGTCAGAATGAGATCCATTTGTTGCTATTTTTTTATGACATCACATTGCTTGAAATGCTGGGAGGTTTTCCCCTCCTTGCCCCAGGAAGATCATGGTCCCATAGTCAAAGGTTAACTGAGGGATCTGCAAGGGGGGCTGAGCAGCAGCTAAAGAAGAAAAAAAGATGTGTCATCACTTCCAGAATGAACTGCGAGGGAAGAGAGCAAAAGGAAAATCCTCCAGGCATCACATGGGGGAAGGCTCAGCTGCCAGTTTGCCTCTCTGGGGTGTTGTTTCTGAGCAAGCACATCCTTTCCTCTCATGAGGCATTAAACCCAGAATTAAACTCATTAAAAATGATGCATGTTCCACTTGACTCCAATACACTCCACCAGTATTTCCATCACTTTAGAGGTGACATTCCGGCCACCTTCTGGAGGCACTGACACCACAGTTGATGTATTGAGAAGTCCCTCCAGTGCAACTCCTGAGCACTCCCAGCATGACAGCTCTGTCTGGAGTGAGATCACCCCCAGTGGTGTCACCCCCTGCCCTGCCATGACATCACACACGTTGACACGATGTGACACCTTTGTCACAGGATGCTTGGCTGTTCCTTTGTCCAAGGGCAGCAATTGTAACTGTCCCTGCACTGGCACACCAGGCCAGAGCAAACACAGCTGTTCTCACATGCCAGTCCCACTCTGTGTCTGTTGTGTAAATGGACAGTTAATTAAATTGCCTTCATAGAGCTCTGTAAAAAAATCTATTAAACAAAGAATCCCTGGCATAAACAAACAAACCTGGATCACAGTTTCAGCTCTTTGACCTCTTCAGTGGATTTTCTGGTTTTATCAGGAGAGCTTCTTTACATTTTTCCTAATTTGCCACCAATATTTTAGAAGTTGTTTCAAAAAAAAAAAAACTAAAAAGAAGGATGAGATTTGGCACTGATTATTGTAAGTCTGTTCAGAATACAGGAGGAAGGTTAATTAGCTTTTCTGACCTGAAGAGTCTAGGAAGGTATCCCTGGTGACTCACTAATTGCTGCTCAATGCATAATAGTGTCTGTGAAGCAGAGTGCAGGGAGCTAGACACTGATAATAATGTTACTGTGATTTAAAATTCTATACCTGCAAGGACATAATGTTGTTTCAGTACAGCATGCACTCCACTGATAGATCTAAATATTCCCCAACTATTCATTTATTTTATTGGCAATTCTGGTCACTAATCTTAATTTGAATTTATACCAAGTACAACGGTGTTTCTCAGATTGAAAGTAAAATGCTATTTAGGGTATCATCAAAGCATATTCTGAAATTGTTTTCTCATGTGTAATAAACATTTCCATTAAGAGCAGTGTAAGTGCTAGAGTTGACTTATTAATTTATACAAAGAATATATAATTTTTATGAATATAAACAAAGAATTAGTCCATGTTGGGAAAAATATCCCTAAACCATGACAAACAGAGACATTGTGTTGTCTTTAATAATGGTGTGAGACCAACAGAGCATAGGAGTTTTAGGAAACACGTGGAATCAAGCTCACAGAGTATCAGATGGATGTTCAGTGTACATGTCCTTCCTTTTGATATTTATCAATTGACATGTAATGATGAGGATTTTAACAGGCAGAATAGATGTGCACTATTAGATCAGTTAATCAGTAGCTGTCAGGTCTGTTTTTTAAAAGTCCCCCAGAGAACAAAACACAAATTAGCTCTTCTTAGAAGAAGCAGTGTAGGTTTCTGGATAGCCTTTTGTCTAGAACAAATTTTGAAAGTTTGCTTAGGAACTGTAAACATATTTTTCACGTAAGAGTTTTCTCTGGTGCTTGTGGTGCAACCTTCTTTAAATAGGTATTCTGCAGATGCTCCTTGGATCAATTCTAAAACACTTCTTCAGCAATCTGTCCTCCCATAACAGATTCCTACAGGAATATGATCATCCAAGCCTCATTTGCATTAAGCCCATTACTCCCAGTTTCCTGGTCAGTGTTGGAAGAGAAAATATGTCATTTACAGCTTCAACTGCATAAATTTGGTACATCAACAAGCTCTATCACACCACAGACTTTACTGATAAAGATCTAATATGTAACCAATATTTTCCTCTCAGCAGCTGATAGCACAGTTTAAGGGGGGGTTGTAGTTATCCTGGCCCATCTGTCAGTTTATTCCTCACAGTCCTTCCTTGCACCTCTTCTGCCCTGAGCCAGGTGATAAAATTGAGCCAGACCTACAAATTAGGAGGATGCTGACCCAACAGGAAAACCTCAGGTACCCTTGGCAACACCTCCCCATCCAGAGAGTTGGAGATGAAGAACTAGAAGGAAAAGAACAGTGCTCAGACATTTCTTCTGCTAAGGCTGGACATTCTATTCCTGTTCTGCTGCTGAGCTATAAATGTAATTAAACAGCAGGACTGACAGATCTGCCCTGTCAACTGTGTGTTAGAACAGCTCACCAGGGTCTCAGGTGAGAAGAGACCATGGGGTTTAATTTCCTTAGAAGCTTCTGTTCCTCACAGA